TTTGTTCATCTCCTCTAACTTATCTAATTTGTTTATAACACAACAAACTGGAGTGGGGAGGCGCTGAGGAATTGAATTCAGGGCCTCAGGCTTCTTAGGTAAGAATTCTGCCTCCAAGCCACACCCCAGCTCCTGTGGTTCTTTTCCATTTTTTTTTTTTCATTTAACATACCAATTACAATTCCCCCTCCCTCCCCTCTTCCCGCTCCCCATCACCACCCACTTATCTCATCCCCCATCCACTCCTCAGAGATGGTAAGGCCTCCCATTGGGAGTCAACAAATTCTGACATATCAAGTTGAGGCAGGACCAAGCCCTTCCCCATAGGGAATGGGCTCCAAAAAGCCAGTTCCTGCACTAGGGATAAATCCTGGTCCCACTGCCAGGGGCCCCACGGGTTCTTTTCTAATTTTTTTGTTTGCTGTGGTTATTTTGGGACAGGGTCTCACTATATATCCCAACTCCTTTCTCTGCTTCCTGAGTGAGATCAAAGGCATGTGCCACCATGATTCTTTTTTAATTTCTTCAAGGTCAGTAGCAATGTCTCATTTTTTTTTCTTCCCCATTTGAAAATTGCACCTCTTCTTTATTTTCTTCCTGGCACGTGTAGCCTAAGGGTTGCCGGTTTTGTTGATATTTTGACATAACTTTTAAAAAAGGAGAAGGAAAGAAAGCATATGTTTAGCCAGTTTGGGTGGTGAATATCTGTAACCTCAGCTGTGAAGCAGGGGGTCAACAGTTCAGCGCTGTCCTGGGCCACGTTTAGAGAAGCTAACTAGGAAAGAATAAAGATAAAATAGCTTACTCTTGATTCTTCCTCCTCCTCCTTTGCTTTATTTCACTAATCCTGCTCTAATTTGCACACTTTGTGACTTGTGTTTTTGTTTCCTTTTCCCTAGGATATGAGCGGTGTCTTGAAATGGTGCGTATGGCTGACTCCAAGTGGTGCTTTTGTGTAGTAAAGATGGATTAGTAGTTGTCCCTATTAGGTTTTTTTTTTTTTTTTTTTTTTTGTCAGTTTGACACAAACTAGAGTCATTTGAGAAAGGGGAACCTCAATTGAGCAGATGAACCTATTAGATTGGCCCACAGGCAAAGCCTAGGAGTCATTTTCTTGATTAATGGTTGATGTGGGTTGTATTGTATGGTACTGGATTATATAAGAAAGCAGGCTGAGTGAGACATGAGGATCAAGCAGCACCCCACCCCACCCCCACGGTCTCTGCTTCAGTTCCTGTCCCTGCCCTGACTTCCCTTCATGATGGACTGTAAAGTGTAAGCTGAAATAAACCCTTTCCTCCCCAAGTTGTTTTTGGTCGTGGTGTTTATCACAGCAATAGAAACCCAAACTAAAACAGGAGACACTACAAATATTTTTATGCCAGTGGGGAAAATCTCTCCCAGATGGAGGGCATTTGGATGCCGCATTACCTAGAACTGCTGGTCCTAGGTAAAGACTTGATCGTCTCATCCCCGTGGAGAATGAACTAGACTCAATGGTAGTGAATGTGGCAGTTTAAGCCAGAGTTAGGGCCACAAAGGGCATTAGAGATTTCAGAGTCATTTTCCTGTGACTTAACTTCACTATTTCACACTCCCTTCCTGCTGCCAGTCCCGAATCTCCTGGTTCATAGGTGTTTTGTACACAGAAAGCCTGACCAATGCCTCAGAGAGGCCATGGGCACTGCTCATCATTCTTACTGTGTTCACTGAGAATAGACGATTACTGACTTTTAAAAACAGACACACACACACCTTGGGGTTTGTAATTCTTACCTAAGTTTCCAATAATGGATCTCTTGTTTGGCAAGCTTTACAAGCGCTTATATTAAAGTATTATCATTGAATCTATAGTTGTCAACCTGACAGCATCAACTTCCTTTAAAAACACATAAAGTTAGAACTAGGCCCATTTGGGGGTTGGTGTTTGTTTTTGTTTTTGTTTTGTTTTTGAGACAGGGTTCCATGCAGCCAAGAGAGCTCTTGAACTTGCTAAGTAGATGAGGTTGACCTCAAGCTGCTGAGCCTCCTGCCTCTGCCTCCTGTGTGCTGGGATTGCAGGCAGGAGCCATCATGTCTGGCTGCCCACATTCATTTTGAGCCCTCACTTTTCTTGTGTAAACTTTCCCCCACTACAGTCTGCTATCTCTGATGTGGGCCACCACTGGAGTCCAGGCTTTGTTCTTCCCCTAAGCATCTGTTCTCTCTAATGTGGGGTACTGCTAGAATCCTGGCTTTGAACTACTCACCCACACACAGGCTGTCTGTGCAGAGCCCGGGGAAACAGGCAGGACCTGTGGCTTTGCCCTTAGTTTCCTTGAGAACTCATATATCTGCACCCTACCTTCAGTGAGGCAGCAAAGGCTTCCCTGTGCTTCTCACCCGAATTTGTATTATTTCCATGAGGTTTCAAGGGAGGTAGAAGTCACCCCGTATTTAGGTGAGGCAACTGTGATTTCACGAAGTATAGATACTCCCAGTGACACACCTCAGGTAAGCGGGGACATTTCGCAGAGGCCTCCTATGTCTCTGTTCAGAGTCGGGGCTTTCCCTGAGGCTCCTCGGGTGTCCCACACCAGTGATGTGGGAGGGGATAGTTGGGTTACAGAGACAACAGTGGGGCAGAGATGGGAAAGGTTGAAATAGTTCTTCATCCCTAGGAGTCAGATCTGGACACTGAAGAAGCCAAAAGCAGTTTCTAAGAAACTGAAGAAGATATTCCAAGCTCCTGATCTGAGAGACATGCTCTGCAAGTTCAGAAGTGAGTGGGGGCACAGCGGGGGGTGTCCATAGAGGGCTCCTTTGTCATGGGGAGTAAGTTGAAAAGTAAAGGTGAAGAGAGGAGGGCGGCCAGGGAGGGGCACTCTGTGATGAAGAGGATGCAGTTGTATCTGAGGGAGCACTGTAACGGATCTGGTGGGTCCTCTCCTTTACCAGTTGCCTTTCTCACCTCTAGAGAGAGTATTACTTCTTCCAAAGTTTGCTTCTAATAAAGTCACCGAATCTTTTATTGTTTCAGAGCTAACAGCTGTCCGTGGCTACTGGGGTAAGAAGTTGCAGATCTTCAAATCACTGTGTTCTGATCACCACTCTGAAGTCTTGGTTCAGTGAGGTCTCATCACCTTCGTCTCCTGTGTTAAACGTACACATACTGTGTTCCTCTAAGGCTTTGTATGGTGGTACAGACCTATAATTTGAGCACCAGGGAAATGAGGCAGGAGAACTGCAGGTCTAAGGCTAGCCTGGGCTACTTAGCAAGACCCTGCCCTAAAACAACCACTATATAACATGTTTGTGTTGTTTTACCATCTCCCACAATCAATTAATACTATTTCCCCCTAACCTTTCCAGTGTTCGGTTTTCACAACAGGCTACCACTGTATCTGTTGCCTGACCTTTTTCTTTCTCTTTTCCCTTGCAGCGGACTTCACATTTAATCCAGAAAACCTAAATTTGAATCTTATTCTTTCAGAAGATCACAGACAAGTGACATCTGTGCCCATTTGGCCATTTAAGTGTTATAATAATGGTGTCTTGGGCTCCAAATGTTTCTTCTCAGGAAAACATTACTGGGAAGTGGATGTGTCCAAGAAGAGTGCCTGGACTCTGGGAGTTTATGCTAGAAAACGTAAAAATTTAAAGTTTGATGTTAGACGAGGCAAAAATCAGCCAAATGTTTACCACAGATACAAACCTCAGAATGGCTACTGGGTTATAGGGTTACAGGATGGATCAAAGTATAGTATCTTTGAGGATTCTTCCAACTGTGACCCTACAGTTCTGACCCCCTTTGTGGCTGTCCCTCTCCATCGGGTTGGGGTTTTCCTTGACTGTGAAGAGGGCATAGTGTCCTTCTTTAATGTCACAAACCACGGGTCACCCATTTACACATTCTCTCAATGCTGCTTTTCCAAACCTGTGTATCCATACTTCAATCCTTGGGACTGCCCAGCCCCCATGACCCTGTGTCTTCTGAACTCCTGAGTCTTCTCATTCTCATCAATTTCTGGTATTACTTCTTGCCTTGAGGCCTTTATCTGGACATACCTGTGTCATTTGGACACCTTTCCCCTTGGTCTCCCTTCTTAAAAACTTAAGTAGTGCTTAGATGTGGTGAATCTGGCATCATTTTGGAGAGATGCTTACCCATTTACTCTTATTCATATCCTCAAAAGCAGCTAATCAAGCTGAAAGCCCACTGGATCAATCAGTATAACATCCATGCCCACTGACTTCATATTTCCCTTTGTCTTGAAGAAATGAGATGACACCAGTTAGCCACTCATCTCTATTACTTAAGATAATCCATAACTGGCCTCCTGACCATCACAATGAGTTTTTAAGAATACATTGGCTTGCCTAGGATATCTCACGTTCAACAGGGAGTCAAGGAATAGAAAATATAAACAGTAATGTGTAGCCTAGAGTTAGGGTTGTCTGGTATACAAATTCAAATTCTGCCTCTTACAAAGTGTAATAAATTAAGAGATTTTTTAAAACTGGAAATTAAAATGCACCTAAGATCATTATATGAATCTAAATATCAGTAAATATACTCACTTGACTGTCTTGTACATAATAAACATATTTATGATTTCTGAACATTATAAGCCACATGACTATTTTATAGCTTTGTGCCCTTCTGAGTAATTACTGAGATCTCAATTTGTAAGTTCTGAAATTCTGCTCTCAACTGTCCTGATGTAAGTTTCTTTCTTTCTTTCCTTCTCTCTCTCTCTCTCTCTCTCTCTCTCTCTCTCTCTCTCTCTCTCTTTCAAAGATTTATTATTATGTATACAGTGTTCTGCCTGCATGTATGTCTGCAGGCCAGAAGAGTGCACCAGATCTCATTACAGATGGTAGTGAGCCACCACCATGTGTTTGCTGGGAATTGAACTCAAGACCTCTTGTAGAGCAATCAGTGCTCTTAACTGCTGAGCCATCTCTCCAGCCCCAAAACAATTATTGAAGAGATATTTAAATAAAAGATCGGACAGCTCTGAAGTTAAGAATATTTATTTTTAACAAACAGAAACATTTACAAATAGTGAAAACAGAAAAAAAATCTGGGATTTTGCAATCTAGTTATTCCATTTCTTAAAACAAAGTAGAGTAGTGATTCTGAAGTAAAACAGTATATATTCTTTACTTTCTTAATGGAGTCTTACTCTATGAACCTGCCTTCAAATGCATAGCAATGCTCCTGCCATAACCCCCCAGGTGCAGGGATGGCACAGATGTGCTACCACACAAAGTTCTGATACACATCTTAATAATCATTTATTTTAGTCACAGTGATAAGGACCGTGCCCCCTCCCCCAAATGGAATAAGACACCATACTGGACTGCTGAGACAAGGCAAGTCCCTAGTAATACTCTGTTGTTTATGTTTTATTATACAGTGAAAGATAAATTTGCCGGTGTTGTCATTATTACTAAAAGCCTGAATATCACAAAATTTAGTACTCGATAAGGACCAATATATGACAACACAAAAATTACCCTTAAGTGTGAAAAAAAAAAAAAAAGAAGCATACAATAGCCACGAGCAACCTAGAGTGATCAGGCCATGATAGTAGTTATCTAGGGACTAGGAATCAAGACTTGGTGAAAGCAATCCGTGTTCCCCATTTTCCTTGGCTTCACAGGATACTACAATACAGTGTATATCTTACAGTAATTAACAGAGTAAACACTGAGGTACTTCAGTGGATGCTCTATACTTACCGAGTTTCTTTTTATTAAAAAACTGTATTTGCTTATTTTGTGTTTATGTCTGTGTCTGGGCCTCTATCTGCCACAGCATATGTATGGAATTCAGAAGACAGGTGGTAGGAGTATGGGTTCAGGGGATCAAATTCAGGTGCCCAGGCTTGGGGACAAGGTCTATTACCCACTCAACTATATTGCCAGCTTCATATTTATTTTCTTACACTGGCTTGAGGCACCTGCAATATTTACACCAAAATTATATATAAAAGAATAAGCACATCTGTTAAGTGTGTTATTCATGCTGGGACTGCTGGCATGTTTAGAACCAGGACTCGAACTTAAGTCCTCTGGATACACATGGTCTACTCTCTCTCTCAATCTCTCTCTGTCGTGCTCTGTGTGTGTGTGTGTGGTGTGTGTGTGTGTGTGTGTGTGTGTGTGTGTGTGTGTGTGTGTGTGTTTGTCTGTCTCTCTCTGTTTCAGGACATTAATGTTCTTCAAAAATATGGAACATGTGCCAGGCAGTTGTGTCACATGGCTTTAATCCCAGCACTTGGGAGGCAGAGGCAGACAGATCTCTCTGAGTTCGAGGCCAGCCTAATCTACAAGGAGAGTTCCAAGACAAGCAGAGCTATACAGAAAAACCATGTTTCGAAAAACAAAAAACAAAAACAAACAAAAGGAACAGCATGAATTTGTGTGTCATCCTTGGGCAGGGGTCGTATTAATTTTATCTGTTACCATTCTACTTTTAGTAGACTTGCTGCCTAAGTGAGCACATCATCTACTTCAGTGTGTATCATTTGTGATGTTCTCTCCTTAATTCCTTGATGAAGAAGCATCATGGCGAAAACAGCCTACTGCTAAGGGTACACTTCTTTTTTGTTGTTTTTGTTTTTCAAGACAGGATTTCACTGTGTAGCCTTAGCTGTCCTGGAACAAGCTCTGCAGACCAGGCTGGCCTCCTTGAACTTACAGAGATCCTCTGTCTCCCAAGTGCTGGGATTAAAGGTGTGTACCATTACTGGCCCGCAAGGGTGCATTTTTTTAACCATGGACTCCTACACAGAATTCTCAAAATGAATGGACAAGTTGTTAAAGAGCTTTCTTTAATCTTCTTCCATTGATGAGCAGAAGGGGTTATACAGACAAAACAGAGGGAAGTGGCTCAGTGGTGCAGCGCTTGGGATCCATCTTGGGCACAGAGAACAAAAGAAGAACTTGGCAGCAGAGATATCTTACACAGTGAGGACTCAAATATTTGTCCTGGAACATATGGGACATGATTTACTATTCTCAACAAAAACAAAAACAAAACAAGGATCTGGAGAATATGCCCAAAGAAATGAATATATCCTATTTACCAGTGAAAGATGTTCACAGAGAAAGACTAGAGACAGAAAAAAATATATCTATAGGTATATATATAAAATAAAGGGTAAAATGGTGTCCAGGAGTTCAGGCATATGAGATACACACCAGAGCCAGAGGCCCTGCACAGAAATAGATGAAGGTTTAAGAGTCTGACCAGCACACTGTCATTGGCTCTGAACATCCCATAGGATTAAAATATGGGAAAACCCTATCAGGAAAGGAATTTGCACAGAATCTATAGATGAGAGTCCCATGGTGGGAAATATTGTAAAACGAGAGGGTGCCAGCTGCATAGTCAAGGAAAATGCCAACACGACAGGGAGGAACCATCAGAGATAGAGTCAAGACACTGGGCTTGCCTGTGAAAGCACACTCCTCAAAGGCATTATACACGCACTTATTCCACAGCCCTATAACCCAGAAGCCATATCTAGGTTGATAACGTGAATCATTACTAATACCCAAGCGGAATAAGGGATCTAGGTGTCTTTCAGCATTTGCACGAAATATCGGATTGAAGAGGTAGCTTCCATCACTTAATCCCAGAACCCAGGCACCTTTTCCAGACACATCTACTTCCCAATAATGTTTTCCTGACTGGATAGCTGGGTAGCCCAGGACACCTTCATGACAGCTCTCACCCCCGGGTGCAAAATTTCTTGTTTGACGGTCTTCATATCTTATTTGTCTCTTGTCCTCGGTAATGGCAATGTTTGGATTGTTGTTCTTGACCAGTGTCACTTGAACTGCACAGAAATGACAGGAGTGAGTGTCATGAGGACAGGACACAGCCTTATTTGTGATGTTAGAAGTTTAAGAAGAAAATGTGGAGGAACTGGAAGGAACTTTGTGTAGAAGTCACAGGAGAGGCAGAACATTGCAGAAGCATACAACATATTCTGGGAGAAGCAACATGAGGCCTCACAGAAACACAAGCTCTGCAAGACAGTGAGAAAGGGGGTGGCTTATGGCACTGTGTTTTCTCCTTACCCCAGTAGCGTTGGGCCTCTATGAGCTCTGAAAGGATAAAAATTCACAATATTAAATGCAAGCAAAGGTATTCTAAAATCCATTTCTTCTCCAGATCAGGGGAAGAGTTGAAAACCATAATAGGGTCAAAGATGAATGGTCATTTCCCATCAGAGATGGTCAAATCATCAGCCCATGGTATCTACTCTTCCTCGTCTGTATCTAGGAAGCACTAGACTCCCAGAGGCAAGTCATGTGACATACGTCTCCTCACCTTGCAGCACCTGCAGCATGCCTCGCAGGTCAGGGGCTCTGAACACTCTTCTTCCTTCCTTGGGGATGGTTTTGGACTTCGTGAGTGAAAAACTGTGACTCCTGGGGATGAAAACAATCGACCTCGAGTCCCTCTTAATGACCCCCAACCACCACTGACCTCTAGTCTCTCTTAATGACCCCCAACCACCACTGACTTCCTCTCATTTCAAAACAGATGTACTTGAGCTCTCTTAAGGATGCTGAAAAGGGTAGCCTGCCATCTGGGGATTTGAAAAATACAATCATGTGCTCTCCAACCTACTTTCAGTGTGATGTTGGGAAGAACTTATGTTCTCAGAATCATGGTTCTTGCTTTCTAAAATTATTTTTCTGCCACTCTGTCTCCTTGAACTCACAAGAGACGATAAAATAATAAATCTTAAAACAAACCAAAACTAAGGTACTTGGGGAAAAATTTGTGGAAAAATATTTTCATGAATGTGGGTTCTTGGGAAAGGATCAAACAGTAGGGTACAGAACCCACACCTGGGTGCTCAAGGCAAAGTGTGGGAAATACACCTGGAAAAGTCCAATGTCATCAACACCTTTAGCTAACACAGAGACTCAAAGATAATATCTGATTTTTCAGGCTCTTGTGGAAAAATTATGAACAGTTGGAGAAGATGAGGACATCAAACTAATATTAATATGATCCCAGTGTCTTAGGAAATTCCTTGGTGTGGCCATGTGAGTGTGCTATCTAAACCCAAGGAGATCCTCTTTCCACTGGAGAGTATGGGATGGAAATGGATCAGTTGGTCACACCCGTATCAAAGTGCTTTGTGAAGAGATTCAAGACTATTTTTTGTAAATCTAAATACTTCCATAAAGACTGGATGTCTTCTAGTCTCAGGAGAAAATAATGTGAACATACAGGAATTTTCCCAATGGACAAGTGTGTGTAGTTTGCAAACATAGAAGACACATGCCATCTACCACAAACCAAGCACCTGTTAAATCCAGATCCAGAGCCACATGCAGGTACATTGGATGAGTAAAATGCTGAAATTACAATGGAGTTAAGAGTACCCTATTCTTTTTATCAAAAATCCCACTACTAGCCGGGCGGTGGTGGCGCACGCCTTTAATCCCAGCACTCGGGAGGCAGAGCCAGGCGGATCTCTGTGAGTTCGAGGCCAGCCTGGACTACCAAGTGAGTCCCAGGAAAGGCGCAAAGCTACACAGAGAAACCCTGTCTCGAAAAAACCAAAAAAAAAAAAAAAAAAAATCCCACTACTGAGCCGAATACTTCCCCACAACCCATTTCTCTATCATAGACTCTAATCTATTCTCAATAGTGGCAAAACACTCAGTCCCTGTTTTTTGGTGTTTTTTTTTTTTTTTTTGTTACAGAAATTCAATACTACATGTAAATTGCCCCAACCTGGGAGAAATTATATTCTGCTTGAAAACTAAGTCATTCTTACCACACAGAAAAACTGCCATTGGCAGCCATACATACCATTTTATGATGCCATCCACACCCTAGATAGGAACAGAAAAAATAGGAGTTAAGACTTCTCATTAAGATGAGAACCCTTGCAACTGAAACTGAAAGAAAACAGTCATGATAACACACAAGGAGCCATTTCCTGCAAGTGGTAGTTTGTAAATGAGCTGATTAAGGCAGCAGAATCACTGTAGGGAAGCAGGCAGCTTCCCCACAAATGGACTCCCAGAGCCAAGTCCACTGCCAGAGTGCACATGTGCTGGAAAAATGAAGCTGCCTGCAGCAAAGCAGTCAGCAGCACTAGGAAGTGCTGCTCCTCACATACACTGGACCCACAAGACCAGAAGACATCACGGTGGGGTGCAGGGGTCTGAAGGAACCACTTGGAAAGGACTCAGAACCTATCCTTCCTCACACACCAGAACACAGGGAACATGTGGGTTGCAGGGATCTACACAGCACCAAGTAGAACCTTTTAGAGTCAAAGGGAGCCAGGCGGTGGTGGCACACGCCTTTAATCCCAGCACTCGGGAGGCAGAGCCAGGCGAATCTTTCTGAGTTCGAGGCCAGCCTGGGCTACCAAGTGAGTCCCAGGAAAGGCGCAAAGCTACACAGAGAAACCCTGTCTCGGAAAAACCAAAAGAAAAAAAAAGAAAAAGAAAAAAAAAAAAGATGGAGTCAAAGGGGATCTGAGATGCTCATCTTTCAATTCAGCACAATTCACGTCAACAGTGTTCTTTTTACTTATTTTTCTATCATTATATACTTCACTCTTGCACACACCTCACTGCGGTTTGGCTTTTATCTGTGATTTGCTCAGTTAGGCTTTGAGATGCTTCCTTCGCCACACAGTCTACTCGATCACATTCTTTGCAAGACTTTTCACCCACATCTCATAGGCTTCCCTTCTTATTCCACTTTTTTTCTTTCTCTCATTATTACTTCTCCTGTTTTAACTTCTTTTTAAGTTTCTTCTATATTTTATTTTATGTGTGTTTTGTCTGTGCACCACATGTATGTTTGCCTGGTGCCCATGCAGGTCAGAAGTATCAGATCTCCCGGAACTGGAGTTACAGAACTCACTACAAAGGTCACACTGGCTGGAATTTGTGACAGTTCTCTTGCTCTGTCTCCAAAGGGCGAAGAATACACATGTCTGCCAGCAAAGCTGGCTACAGTAAATGTACATAAACTAAGAAAGCTATACAAAATGGTTTAAAAAAAATCACAAGAAAACTAATCATTTCAATTACAGCTAAATTCTGGAGTTAAAACATGCCATCCTAGAGTCATTGGCACACTCCTGTCTCCTGAAGCATTATTCCAATAGCTGATGGATGGACTCAACCTCAGCAGCAATCAACAGACAAAAATAATGCGGTACACGTACACAATAGATTACGAGACAGCTCTTATAAGCGAGGAAGTACTACCATTTGTGGTAACATGGATGAACCTACAGAGTCTAGGTCACATGAAACAAGCCAGGTTCAACTAAATAAATACTGCATGAGATCATGTGACCACATGGAAGGTACAAAAACTGATCTCATAGGAGACTAGAATGGGAGTAGACAGAAGTTGGGTGGGGGAAAGTGGGATAGATATTGCTCAAAAGATAAATTTCTAGTATTGTAAAGTAAGCACGGTGAGTGGGTATAGTAAATAATATATTCTTCAAATTACGAAAAGACTCAAACTGTTGCCATCACAAAAAAAGCAGAGTAACAATGTGAGGTGATGCATATGTGAACCAGCACCATGTAGGCATTTCATGATGTATGCATATTGCAAAATACCATGTGATCTATACATTTTTTTTAATTAAAATGAACACAACAGGAAAGTGAGAAATTGAAAAGATGGTGAGGACTTCCTACAACCAACATTGCCTATAAATTTTACAACTTAGATGGAAGAAATACATTCCCATGGAAACATATAAAACCAGAAAATGACACAGGAAGCTAACTCTGGGCTGGCAAGATGGCTCAGCTGGTAAAGGTTTTCACCATACAAGCAGATGGACTTCAATTCAATCCCTGAAGCCATGGAAAGGTGGAAGGAGAAAACCATCTTTCCAAAGTTGTCTTCTGACCTATACACTGGCACATAAATAATACACACACACACACACACACACACACACACACACACACACACACACACACACACCACACCACACACACTTGTTTTTGTGAGACAGGGTTTCTCTGGGAAGCCCTGGCTATCCTGGAACTTGCTCTGTAGACCAGGCTGGCCTTGAACTCACAAACATCCACCTGTCTCTACCTCCCGAGTTCTGGGATTAAAGGTGTGACCACCACCACCTGGTACATAAAATATTTTTAAGAAGTATAAATGACCTAAATAAATGTGATATAAAATAATATACAATTTTACACTTCTTTAAATAGCAAAACAAAACAAAAAAACTCACAATGTGCAGTTGCTTGATTGGTTGAAATACTTTACTATTATTATTATTATTCGAGACAGGGTTTTTCTGTGTAGCTTTGCGCCTTTCCTGGAACTCACTTGGTAGCCCAGGCTGGCCTCGAACTCACAGAGATCCACCTGGCTCTGCCTCCCGAGTGCTGGGATTAAAGGCGTGGGCCACCACCACCCGGCTTAGTTGAAATACTTTTTAAAGTAATATCAGTTCATTATTTTTAACTTTTATTATTATTTCATATGTATAGACATTTGCCTGCACATACCTCTGCACAGCACTAGCATGCCTGGTACCTGTGGAGGTCGGAAGAGTGTGTTGGATTTCCTTGAACTAGAGTTACAGGCAGTCTTGAACTATAATGTGGGTGCTGGGAACTGAACCCAGGCACTCTGGAAGAGCAGCCAGTGCTCTTAATTGCTCAGCTACTGCAGATGGGGGAAGCCTCACCTCATCCTATGGTGGACAACATAAACATCTCTTGTAACTGGAAGTTCCTTGTTTACCAGTGACTAGCTGGAGTTGATAAAAGTACTTGAACCACACACAGCTCTGTAAAGAGCTGGTGCCATAAATGCCCACGAATCCAACAGATCTCCTCCCCAGAGTTTATCTTTTGTGCTGCACTTGATAAACTAATAAAAATAGAATTCCACTCCTTGCCATCCATACACGCAATGATTCCCAGTCTCTGAAACTGGTACAGGACAGAGTTCAGGGAAGGCCCAGAGAGCCCTAGTGTCCTCACCAGGAAGGTCACAGCAGCACAGAGGGAGGGAAATGGCTTCCAGGTCTCCTGACTCTCAGATGCTGGGACCTCCTGCAGTCTTACCTGCAGCATTTCCATGGTTGAGCACTGCAAGTGATGCTCCACATCTGAGATGAGGTCTCCTAGCAACTTGCTTTGCTGGGCATGCTTATTTTCAGACTCTGCCAGGCTGTTCATAATGTCTTTCTTCTCTTGCATCAGCTTCTGCACCTCATTCTTCTCCTCAGAGTCCAGGATGTCTCCCAGTCTTCTAAACTCCATCTGAACATTTTCTACATCTTTCTGTATTTGATTCTTCAGAGATAAGAAACGGGAGAATTAAGCCGGTTGGTGGTGGTACATGCCTTTCATTCCAGCACTCAGGAGGCAGAGGCAGATGAATTTCTGTGAGTTAGAGGCTAGCCTGGTCTACAGAGTGAGTTCCAAGACAGCCAAGGCTACACAGAGAAACTCTGTCTCAAAAAACAAAACAAAACAAAAAAAAGAAAAAAAGAAGAAGAAAGAAATGGGAGAATTATTCAGTCTGTCAAATGTGCTATGTGGGAAATTGTTGTTTTTTTTTTTCTTTCTTTTATTTTGTTTGTTTTCCTAGATAGGGTTTCTCTGTATAGTCCAGGATGTCCAGGAACTCACTGTGTAGACCAGACTGAGATCCAAACTCAGAGATCCATCTGCCTCTGTCTTCTGAGTGCTTGGATTAAAGGCATAAGTCACCACCTCCAGGCTTTGTGGGCGAGTTTTTATGAGGAATAGAGATTCAGAAAAGGAAGGGAGTCTTAGGGAAGCATGTATAACCTTTTAGTGTCTGTTAATTATTCCAATACAAAGACCTCAGGTCATCTTTACCAAGACCACCTAAACCAAAACGATACACTAGGCTATGATTCAGCTTTCACACAGCTGTCCGAGATGCTCGTTCCTGCCTGTAATAATCCTCATTCCACTTTTTTAAAAGACTTTAGGGTTGGAGAGACAACTCAGTGGTTAAGAGCATTGGCTGCTCTTCTGGAGGACCAGGGCTCAATTCCTAGCAACCACACCTATTCACAACCACCTATAACTGTAGTTCTAAGAGATCCGATGCCCTCTTCTGACCTCCATAGGAACCAGACACACATATGCTGGCAAACACTCATACACATCAAGTAAAAATAAACAAATCTTTAAAAAAAATTTAAAGAAGGACTTAAAAAAACTTTAAAAATGCATTTATTTTTATTTATATACATATTTATTTATTTTGTTAGTGTGTGTTTTACCTGCCTGCATCACATGTGTGCCAGGTACCCACAAGAAGCCAGAAGAGAGGATTGGATGTCCTCAGAACTAGTTATGGATGCTTATGATCCACCATGTGGGTGTAGGGAACCAAATTCAGGTCCTCTGGAAGAGCAAACCACTAGGTTTCTTATTTCTTATTTTGTTTCTTTGTTTAATTGGGGAGAGAGGGATTCTCACCCGGTAGTCCTAGTTGCCTTGAAACTTTCGATGTTCACCAGACTGGCCTTGAACTCAGAGATCTGTCTCTTTCTGCCTCCCAAATGCTAGGATTAAAGGCATGTGCCACCACACCTGCATCTCATTCTGCTCTTTAACTTCCTGCAGAAGCTGAATGCTAAGTACATATTCATGATCCAGCCATTCCCAAGCATCTTCCCCAACCATCATAGTTACAGAAAGCACCACAGGAGTGAGATCCAGGACTCAGTGCCCACTCTCACCAGACTCCCTCCATGGTGTCAGCTCCCCACATAGCCAGGCTCAGTTGTGATGCACTCGGTGTGCAGCCCCAGCTCCAAGGAACAGGTAGAGAGTTCTAATCAAGGCCGCTTATCCTCATCAACTATCAGGGAAGAAGAGCCAGGGAGCTTCTTGCCCAGGTCCCTCCCAGGCATCCGCCGAACTCTTTAGGAAGCATCCCCACTTGCCTCCCAGAAAGTTCTCTCCTTTTGAAGGTCATCTTTCCAGTTCTCCAATTCTTTCTTGTCTGCCATCAGCTTTTGCAGAGCTGCCTGGAGCTTCCCCTGTGGGAGAGGAATTGCAGCAGAGTCAAGCTGTGTGCTTAGTAGGACAGTTGTTTCTAACAGAATACCAAGAAACCCTTCTGGAAAGACAGGAAGCCTAAAACTGCTACGGTTCTTTAAAAGAATGTGTTAAGAATGATGTACATAACACATATACACATACATACATACATATAGTTTTGGGGGTTTTGTTGTTGTTGTTGTTGGGTTTTTTTGGTTGGTTTTTGTTTTGTTTTTTTTTGCTTTTTCAAGACAGAATTTCACTGTGGAACAATCCTGGCTGTCCTGGAACTCGCTTTGTAGACCAGGCTGGCCTCAAACTCACTGACTGCCTCTTCCTCCAGAGTGCTGGGATTAAAGGCGTGCGCTACCACCGCCCAACTACACGTATGGTTTTTTAATCTATTATGAACATATAGATAGTAAACACTAAAAAGAAGGCAAATGGACAAAATCAAGTTGGTCTCAGCAGAATTTACAGAAACAGAGAGAATGGCAACTAAAATCTAGTAGTTGGAAGAAAGGAATAAGGTCACCATCAACTCAAAAAGATTCCCTATCCTCTCAACCTCTTTTAAAAAGGTGGTCTCAAGCCAGGCATGGTGGCAAATGCCTTTAATAACAGCACTCAGGAGGCAGAGGCAGGCGGATCCCTGGGTTTAAGACCAGCCTGATCTACAGAGAAAGTTCCAGGACAGTCAGGGCTGCACAGAGAAAAACAAGCAAGCAAACAAACTAATAATACGGTGGTCTCATTATGTAAAGAATCCTTGTTCCTCCTGCCTCAGAAATGTTGAGGTTACAGGCATCTGCTATCACACCCGGTTAAACTGATTTTTTTTTACACTAATATGTAAAAAAAAAGAGGAAGCTGATAGCAAGGAAAGAGGAAATTCGGTGTAACGACTCACCTCATTTAGTCTTTTTAATTAACTAATTGATTTTGTATGTGAGTGCACCTGTGTGTAGTGTGTGCTTGTGTATACCCACACTCACGTCACCCCAGGTATGTAGAGGTCAGAGAACAACTTGCAGGAATCAGTTATCGCCTTGAGTTATGTGGTTTCTGGGTTTGAACTCAGGTCATTATGCTTAGCAACAAGCTATTCAGCCATCTCTCCAACCCTCATCTCATTTACTGTGACAGCTAAAGAATAATCAGAGCTTTTCTTGGACATAAAATCTCAACAGTATACAACAAGGTGTAAAAACATTTGCTCTAGTTCTAGAGTTTGAGCCCAGGTAGATTCTCTTATGATTAAGCTCAGTGGATAGTCCTATTCTTTCAGGCCTCAGAAGGCAACAGGATGGAAGGAAATCCCAGGCCTCTATTCCATGATGATCAAGTAACCAAAGGGTTCCAAGCAGTAGAGATTTCACGGCAGGTACTGTTTCTTGTTCTGTTTCCCACACCCTCCCACTTCTTACCTTGTAGTCTTGGGCCACCTCTTCGATGAGAGCTGTTTGGTGACCACGGTGCTCCTGAGATCGCTCACAAAGCCAGCAGATGGCCACCTTGTCCTTCTCACAGAAGAGCTGCAGTTTCTCTCCATGCCTTGCACAGACATTCAACTTCTGCTCCCCCTCTGGGCTGGACTTGAACCCCTTGAGCCTCTCCACTATGTTGGCCAAATGTCGATTAGGCCTCAGATTCCCAAACAGGTAACTCACTCGGCACACAGGGCAGGTGAACTCTCCCTCTTTGCCTTTAATAGACTCACAGTTCAATGTGATGCAGGCTCGGCAGAAGCTGTGACCACAATCAGCACTCACAGGTTCCACCATGAGGTCCAGACAGATAGGACAGGTCACCTCCTCCTTTACATTCATCAAGAATTCTGAAGCCATGGTTGCTGTGATCCTGTGTCTGCCTGTCCTGACTTCTGACACCCCTGCTCAGGTGCCTGCATGATTTAGAAGACAAAAAGAAGGCCAAGTAAGAAGGGGAGGAACAGAATGAACACTGTGCAGAGATCAAGGATGGGCCATGACCACAACAGTACAAGGCAAAGAAGCCAGGGGAGAGAAACAATACAAGCAACTAAGATAACCATGCAGAAGCAACATGCATCTAAATATTTCCTTATGTTTCATATCCTAAACTGAATTCTTAGAACAAGGGCCAAGGAAATAGTTCCAATATAGAGCATTGGCCTAGAATGCACAGGCCCAATCACTACACAAACAAAATCAAAATAACAAATAATTAAAATCAGAAATAGCCGGGCGGTAGTGGCACACGCCTTTAATCCCAGCACTCAGGAGGCAGAGCCAGATGGGTCTCTGTGAGTTCGAGGCCAGTCTAGTCTACAGAGCAAGTTCCAGGACAGGCTCCAA